ACCACACCCATCTACCTCATAGAAATACAAAGCCTCAGGTCGACCGATTATCAACTCCTAAATACAAACAATAGGGAAACACTTATCTTCTAAGATAATATATATATATGGCTATTAAGGCACCATAAAGAATAGGGCACAAAAATGCATACCGAGCGGTCACTCATTGCGACACTATTAACATCGCATCCGATCTGATCTAATGTTTGCCGCCTAGGAGGTTGGCTCTGCATGCTGAACAAACTCACAGAATTTGGAGTCACAGCAAACAATAGAAGGGCTTGACCATCCACTCTAAAACCTAGTCCAGTAACCGATGAATTACCATCACCAGATGCGCTATCAACCTGAAGCTTGAAACGAGTTATTCTTTCACGTGCAATATCTCCCTTGATACAGTAAATGCAACCATTGTCTAACCCAATAGCTATATGTAATATCGGCGGAGCTTCCTCCAAGACTAAAAATGATGTGATCTGCAATGTGTAAAGACTCACATTAAAAGTTTAAAAATACGCTGAACACCAGTCTCAGGTGCTTCACAAGTTGGTTTAGCTCAGGTTCAGTTTGGTTATTATTAGTGGTCATTTACATATAAAAGTAATAAAATAATAAAAATGACAACTAATCCAGAATAATTGTTAGACAAAAGAGTAAAAATTAAACATTTTTTACATTCAGCCAAAATTATCGTTTGCTTTATGTTTTTGCAAACTATTTATATACTTTTATTATTTCTTCTGAAATTAGAAAATAAACTAGCAAAAATTATAACTTTGATATATCATTGGCAGTGAAAATTGAATTTAAAAAAGAAAACAAAAGTAACTTAATATGAAATGAACAGCTAACTGTAAAAACGTTGTGAGTAAATATAAATAAAACGAGGGAAGAAAGAAGAAAACCTTCGCTTGGGGAAATTGATTGGTGAAAATACGCAAAATTCCAATACAATCAGGACTAGTGATACTCGATCCTTCTGGCTGCATTTTATCAAGATCAAATACCTTCAAGCACATCCCTGATTGCTGAGGCGATATTTGTTCATCTTCTCCAATACTCACCAAGAAATTCCGTTGCTAATTGAAGTCATCAATCAATCCAAAAAAAAAAAAAACCCAATGAAGTTGCTTCTTTTATTATTGCAATATAAAGTTGAATCGTAAAGTAAATATACACAGATTTTAGTCTCTTAATTTTACCTTGAGCATTTGGAGGAAGAGAACGGAGAAAGTATGAGCTTGAAAGCCAAAATTGAAGTTAAGACCGCGATCCAGGAGGCTTACAGTGCCGTCATCGCAGCCGATCACCAGCTTTCCTCTTCCGCTGTAGGCGCACTGTATTTTTCCAGTGATTTCCTCCGGGATTTTGCATTTTCCTCCTCCTAATTTCTCCTCAAAGAACTCGAATTTCCTCCACTGATACATTCCCCCACTTCTCGTTGATGGATCGGATAAGGGATCAGAGCTCGACAACAAAAACCCTACACTTTTATTTATTAATATTTTTTAAAAAAATATATAAATAAGCTGCTTCTTCTGTAACACGGGAAGTTTCGTGATACTTTAGTTTCTTTCTAGCATTTTCCGTGAATTATTAGCTTTTTTGCTGTTTGCTATGGCCAAGAACAAGAGGATGAATGGAATGGAATGGAATGGAATAATAAACTACGATGGTCTAATCAATCCCCGGATAATATGCTTTCAGATCGAAAACGGCGGCGTTTCCACCATATCAAATTCTGGGTTCCCTTTTCGTTTCTTGGGTAATATTGGCCCAATATAGTAGTCGGACTAATTATTTAGCCCAATATGATATCAAATATTTTATTTTGAGAATTATTATATTTGTTACAGTGATTTAGAACTTATTACGTCGATATAATGAGTTTTAATAAAACAAATATTAAAACTTGTCACTCCAACGTGACAAAATTGAATAAAAATTATATTTTATTAGAACTCGTCACTTCGACGTGACGGATTTAAATAAAAAATATTATTTAAGTAAAATCGTCATGTGAGTTTGACGAGTTTATACTAACTGTAGCATTTTCGTAGATCCCGAATTAGTTTTTAAAATGATTTAATGGTCTAATTTTTTACCCACGTGGCCTTTTAGGCCAATTTGAACTTTCTTGTGGGCAATTGCGGGCTAATTATTTAACCTAATACTATAACATATTTTTTGTTTTGAAAACTACGACATTTACTACAATGAATTGAAATTCATCACGTTGGCGTGACGAGTTTTAATAAAATATATTTTTTATTGAAACTTGTATTTTGATGCGACAAAAATCGAATAAAAATTATATTTTATTAAAACTCATAATTTTAACGTGATAAGTTTAAATAAAAAATATTATTTAAACAAATTAATCATCTTAAAGTGACGAGTTCCCTTATATTGTAACATTTGTCATAGATTATAAAATAAAATATGAGATTCTCTATTGGGCCAAATAATTTTAACACCATCGGTATTAAGCCAAAAAAAATCATCTTTTTATTGTTGAGCCAAACTTGGATACTATATATAAAATAATCTAATCTACAAAATAAGAATCCTATTCTTATTAATATATAGGGATGAGTATTTAAACCCGACCCGATCGGGTCGGATTTTTCTAAAAAAAAATTGGGGTCGGGTTTTTTATGTGGTGTCGGGTTCGTGTTTAAGGTGAAAAAAATCCGACCTGACCCGAAAAATATATATAATTTTACCCTATATTTTAGGGAAAATTACAATAATACCCCTCTCTATATATATTTTTTCAATTAAGTCACTGTTTTTATTAAATAAAAATAATTTTTTATTATTTCGGGTCGGATCGGGTCGAGTCGGGTTTCTATATCATATATTCGAGTCGGGTCGAGTGAAACCTTGTTTTAGTCGGGTCGGATCGGGTCTCAGGTGGAGACTCTCTTATTTTCGGGTCGGGTCGGATGGACCAAAAACCCGACCCATGCCCATCCCTGTTAATATATCCTAAATTTTATCACACATACTATGTGGATGGAAAAAAGATATTTATCAATTAATATGGGTGATGTGAATAAATAAAATATTTATCAATTATTATAGGTGAAATCATAAAGGGCTTGCATATAAATATACCAGTTTTTTATTTTTAAATAATGGTTTTTAATTATTTTCTAACTCGTCAGACTTAATTAATAAATGTATAGAATTCAATATTTCAATTACGCTAATCATGTTTTTATACAGTAAAATTACATGGCACCTATCGTATTTTCTTAATAATTTGAAAGGATAATAAGGTAGAATTTGTTAAAAATATTTTTTAATTATTAACAATATATAAATACATTACAAACGTAACTGTTTAAATTTAAAATCTCTAAAAAATAACTCTCTTTTACTCACGAGATCACTTAATGAATTCATCACTTATAATATTAAAATTTATTTGTAAACACAAAAACACGGAGATAAAGAAGGAAAAAACTATAAACTAAAATATTCTTTTAAGAAATTTCAAGAGAATGCTTTGACAACGAACACTTATACATTCTTGTGACATCTCGTTTGAACTTAAAATTTTAAAGATAACAATAATCTATTAATTATTAAAATCGTTTGATTTGTGTTTCAAAATAATGTATGAAAGACGGAAAAGGTAGGAAATCTCCCAAGTTCATAAATGGCCACATGAAAACGCAATTGAACGTAAAAGAGAACTATAAAGAAGTATTATTGATTGAAGCTACAGATAACATGATGAGCCGAGATCATTTAATAATTTTTCATGTAGATATACAAGTAGACTGATTGTTCCTTAATTTATGGGCTTCACTTGGTTAGGAAATGAAATGGGGGCCCATTCTTATTGAAAGAGACATCACATTCTATTGTTTGGATTTTGTTAATAAAAGGGAATCATAATAACCACCCACCAACCTACTATTCTTAGTTTTAATAAAAGATTTAATATAAAATAAGTGTTTAAGTTATATCTTTTTATTTAGGTGTTTAAATTATTTTCTAATCAATATAAGTGTTTAATGTTATAAATATTATTATTTTAAGTGTCTTAGTCGTAATATATATTAAAATTTTGCGTTAAATAACACGTGAATCATTTAAGAAATTTTAAAATTTTGATTTAAAAAACTTAAAATATTATTAATTTATAAAAAAACTCAAACTTTTTGGAAATTAAAAATCCCTAAAATCTCTAAAAAAATCTCAATTTTTTTGGGATATTTTATGATGAAACAACCATTAATTTTGGACTTGGGGGTAGAGGCAAATCAACTCATGAACTTTGGGATCGAATGATCACCATCTACGGCGGTTGACGACGGCCAGCGATAGCGTTGGACCACCTTCTATTTTTATTTTATATTAAAAATAATTAAATTGGATCAAAACAAAAATAATTAGAAAGTTTAATGAATAAATTAAAAAAATTGAAAATATAGTGTGTAAAATAGCAAAGAGTAAAATTTATGTATCTTACTCTAATTGAATAAAAAAAGAAGTTACTAATAAGGGCAATTAAGACATTATAAAAACCACCGGACTGATTCATAAATCCAGGCGCATTTTTAATAAAATTCCCGCAACTATCTGTAACGACAACTACAACCTGGAATTTTTTCATAAATTGGTTTTCTATAATTAAAAAAAATATGTGGCAACAAGGAAAAAAATTATTTTTTAATTAAGAAAAACAATAGCATAAATAGGCAAAGTAGTGACTTTTTTAATTAAATAAACAAAGTCAATCAAAACTACTTTTCTGCTTACTATTACTAGTAATATATTTAGAGAGAGAAGCAAAAGTTGAGTATATATATATATATATATATATAAATATATATTTACTTATTCAAGTGTGTGTTGATTTGAGCTAAAGACAAGGCTGTCCTTTGTCATTTTGGCTATATTTCGAAGCAGGAAGAAAGAAGATCAAATTTATACCAGTGGAATGGAAGAATTTGAGGCATTGCATTTCTCCTTTTGATTTATTTGTGTTTTCTTCATCTTTTCAAGCCTCTTTCTTTTGGTGGGTATCTTAAACCAGCCTGTTTTTCTTTTTTATAAGAAAAACAAAAAGTTTGGGTTCATAATTTTGTCTTTACAACTGTGTTTTTCTGCTTCGAAAACACATCTTCAGTGTTCATTGGCTAGAAAAAAAGCGACCAGGAACTGACTTTTGTGGCCCCCTTTTTTCTCACGGGTTGATGGCTATGAATTTTGAAACGGTTGTTGCTTCAAAGATGGTGAAGCCAACTGTTCAATTTTGTTTCCATGAAGGACTAAAACAAAGTAGAAAATAAATTCAAGAGAGGTTGAGGAAGAGAAGAAGAGGAAGGAGTTTAACATGTTCTACCTCTCCTTTCTACTTTTCTTACCTGGGATTTCATGTTACCTGTTTTTGCTAAATTCAGACTTTGATGAAGCTAACTAGCTGTACTGTTACTGGCAAGAAAAACCCCCATCTTTTCTCTTTTAAGATTAGGCTTTCGTTGCACTGTAACCGTGCAGATAATGCTTTCCCTGTCTTAGAATCAGATGTATATATGTATGTATGTATGTATTTGAGGTTATTTCCATTTTACAATTTGAGATTATTTCATTATACTCTGTATGGGTGTTGTGGCCTGAGGGTGTTATATGTGTATTTACAGGGTTTGCGAGAAACCTGAGATGGATTTCAGTGAATCGACCAAAGTTGTTTACAATAGAATCCAACAGTTGGAGCCCGAGAATGTGTCTAAAATCATTGGCTATCTTCTCTTGCAAGACCACGGTGACCGGGACATGATCCGTTTGGCCTTTTGCCCCGACACTTTGCTGCACTCTTTGATCCACAAGGCCAAATCCGAACTCAGCTTAAACAAGGTTGCTGTTTCTCTAGTGAGTCCGACCCCTATCGTCGATCTCCCCGTGCAGTTCGCACCGTATTCCCCGGCTTCAACACGTGTGGTTTCGTCTCCCACCGCTCAAAGAGGTGCCCCAAGTCCTTTCTGGGATCATCCTGTAGTGACTGCTGCTGAGCAGCATGTCAATGGTTTGGAATTTGTCCCACCGGGGTATTCGGATGTCGTTGCCAAAGATTATCGCCTCCAAAACCAAATGCATTTCTTGAACATGGAAGATCAGTTAGAATCTGCCAATCCCATTGGTTCCGAATTCCATAGCAATTACCATTATTCAGAACCTGCATTGGATGCAAGGAGCAACCGAAGGTCCCCGAGCTTGCCTGAGTTTCCTGTCAAGATTTGCCATTACTTGTTCAACAAGGGGTTTTGCAAGCATGGGAATAACTGTAGGTACTTCCATGGCCATCCTATGCCGGAGAGCTTTTCGCAGATTTTCAATCCTGGTTCGAACCAGGCTGGCAACGATGATAAAGTAGTCTCTCCCGGGACTCTCAAAAAGCTCGAATTGGAGCTCACCGAGCTTCTAAAAGCCAGGAGAGGGTTGCCTGTCTCCATTGCCTCTCTGCCAATGCTATATTATGAGAAGTATGGGAGGACACTTCAAGCTGAAGGTTATCTTACTGAGAGCCAACGACACGGTAAGGCTGGTTATAGTCTGACCAAGCTCCTTGCTCGATTAAAGAACAGCATTCGTCTCATTGACAGGTGTGGAATGTTATGTTCCTGTTGGACCTTGCATTTAGACAATTAGCAAACAGAACATGTGTGTATTTAATTGTCATATTGATTGGCAGGCCCCATGGCCAGCACGCCGTGATATTGGCAGAAGATGCTCCGAAGTATGCTCCAGAGAGGAACGATCCTGGTGCGATAGTCGCTGGTTCCAGGCAGATATACCTTACCTTTCCAGCTGACAGTACCTTCACCGAACAAGACGTTTCCCACTATTTCAAGTAAGGAACTCATCATAATGAGGTCATTTAAGCTCCTTCTTTTTGTTGTTGTCTTACTTATTCTTATGTTCTATGTTTAAAAATATTTATAGCAAATTCGGACTCGTGCAAGACGTTAGGATTCCATGCCAACAGAAGAGGATGTTCGGATTCGTCACTTTCGTTTATGCAGAGACAGTGAAGCAAATTCTGGCTAAAGGAAATCCTCATTTTGTATGTGGGGCTCGTGTTCTGGTGAAACCGTATAGGGAAAAATCAAGGATTGTTGATAGGTAAAGTTTCCAGTTTCATTCAACATATAAATGATCATAATCTATAGCACTTCAACTTGTTTACAGTACACTTCTATAAGAACTAGCAAGGGTAACATATTTAGGTTGATCTTGTTTATATTAAAGTCTTCGGGATGCAAACTCGACGACCGGATTTGCAACGTGTGCTTGATTCATATGTTCTTCCTTACATGGTTGCTATCTTCTTATTGGTAAAACCAAATGAGTGCTATCACTAGTGTGATAAAATTTTGTTGCTTTGTGATTAATGTTGTCAATGTTCCTGCCAATGGCGCATCGATGCTTACGGATTATTTTCCCTCTCGGTTTTCTCAGGAAGTATACTGAGAAATTACAGCAGCCTCCTATGTATTATTGTCCACACTTCATAGATGGAGGTTCAGAGCTTCAATCAAGTTACTATCTATTCATTTGCCCTGCTTGTTTTCATCTTTCTATTTCCATCAACATAAATGTTGGTTGCTTGTTCTGATGCAACGATCGAATTGCATGCCCGTTTTACAGTGCCAAGAGTTTGCGACAATTCAAGGTTATTCCGGAAACAGCTGATCGAAGATCGCGAACAAGCACTGGAGTTCGAGAGCAGGCTTTTTTCGGAGTTGCAATTAGCACCAAATCAGCAACATATGACTGATCAATTCTACTTTGGCTACTCAATGGATGAACTGAAGCACACAGATGGTATAGCCAATATCATTACAAATCTGTTTCATTCTTCATTTCTCCTTATACATGTTGCTAACCATTGAAAAACTACGATTCTCTCCTGTGCAGACCACGCGGCTACGGATTTCCCGACGTACAAGCGATTCAACTATCTGTTGGATGTTCTGAATACAGGTTCAACCAGTGAGGACAAAGTGAAGAATATTAGCACCAATTATAACGATCAGGATAGGTATGCATCTTCTTCCTCTGTTCCAACTCCGGCATTCGATCGATGTCGATTGTTTTCGAGACAATTTAATACATTAGTTTCTTTGTTTTTGAGCAGCCAAGGACTCAATCTTCCTGAGAGTCCATTTGCATCTCCAATAGGGAGTGGCATTTCAACAGTTATATAGAAGAGACTCAACAACAACAACGACAAGACAGGAGTTTCATTGTCTTCCCCTTTGTTTTGTGTTTTGCTTTTTCAAGTGTTAAAGTTGACATAAACATCATCGGTCCGATAGCATCTTTTCATAGTCGATACCTAGTGAAGGAGAGAAACACTAGAAATTCTCCAGTTTTACTTCCAATGGAGAAGAAGAAGATATAGACGAGGTAATATGTAAAAGGGTCCAAGGTTCCTTTTCTTTTCTATTTTTTTTTATTTTTAATCACAGAAAAGCAGGCAGAGATAGAGAGAGAGAGAGAGCTGTGAATATTCTAGAAGATAAATGTAAAGTACAGCCTTTTTCTCTGTTTAGTTGAAAGAAGAAAAACAAAGGTTTAAATATTGTAGATGGTTCAGATGTAGAAGAAATCTCTGCTGTTAACATTTCTTAAATACTGTCAAACCCCAGTTGTTAATAATATGAATTTTTAGGACATAAATAAAAATTTTAAGGTAAACACTATCAGTAATAAAACAATTAACACAAAGAGATTCGGATTTTAGTCCACTCTAAGTAATACCTACATTCGCCACTTGCCTTGGTGGCCAATGAAAAAAAGTTTTACTTGACTTTCTCCATGGCGTATTGTCAAAGATCATGAAATATGTTGTTGCGAAATCTACAAGTAAATATTTTTTACTAGGAAGAATGCATAAGCGATATATGTTGAGGTGATATAGAAGTAGCAAATAAGATTAAACAGTAAATATCTTTTGGCATCATCAGTTTTTCTTACATGCCAATTGCTGCTGCATGCGAGATACATACATGGCAGTGACGTGGAATTTGTGAATACAACTAAATGCAAAACACACTTGAAAGGAACTGGTAGCTGCGATGACTACATTTTTGGAGCATTAGTCTTCATCACCACCGAGATCACCCCATCTAACGTTGTACTTGGCCGCAAGATAATGTGCTCCCACCGGTCCTCTGCTCCCATAAGGGTACAGCTCCGGAGCAATCCTTTTTCCTTCGAGTTCCTTCAACAATGGCGTGAACAGTGACCAAGCAGCATCGAGCTCATCGCTTCTAATGAACAACCTCCGCTCCCCTGCTATTGCATCTAAGAGCAGCCTCTCATATGCATCTGGGATTTCTCTCGGATATCTGCATGTCATAACAGAAGTCCTAAGCTAATGCCATAAGAAAATCTGGAAGCGAATAAGGTGTTTCGATAACAATGGTGGCAAGGATCGTTTTTACTATACCGAACATTGTAGCTTCAACATCAAGCTCATTGTTGATACGTTTCGCATTTGAGTTACATGCAGATCAATGAACCAAAGCATCGTATTAAGTTCATGAATAATTAATAATCTCCTTACCTTGATCGATAAAGCAAGTTAAGGTCACTGCGGTCTAATCTCATCCCAAGACCAGGAACTTTGTTATTGATCTTCAGATAAATGGCTTCATCAGGTTGTACACGCAGCACAAGCTCATTTGTAGCCTTGTCCAAATCAGTTCCGAAATTCCGCTTGTACAGATTACCTGGAACGTGCCTGAACTGAACTCTGATCTCTGCCCTGGATTTTCATATACACAACTTTTCAATCCATCTGATTATAAGGATGATCACGCCCTCAAGAAAAAAAGCAATGAATAAAAACACACTCCTACCGCTTCCGATGGAGAGCTTTTCCAGCCTTCATGAGGAAAGGGACACCATCCCATCTAGCATTATTGATAAACAAAGCTGCTGCTGCAAATGTAGGTGTAATACTGTTACTCGGTACAGTCGAGTCATCGGTGTAACCTGGATATATTCTACCACCCTTGTTGTGACCCTTATACTGACCAATGATGACATCTTCTAGTTCCAGTGGTTTCATTGATCTCAGAACCTTTACCTGCAAATACCCGCCATGTTGTACCGGATTTTACAAGAATAGAGTTACTGGAAAATCGAAAACAACGTAAACGTAAATCATGTCAAAGGAAATCCAAATACCTTTTCATTCCTAATGTCCTCGGCATCTAAGCTGACAGGAGTCTCCATTGCAAAAAGTGCCAGAATTTGCAGGAGATGATTCTGCATTATGTCCCGTATGATCCCGTAGTTATCGAAATAACTGAAATTAATAAGGAATACTCGAGTGATCTTGGTACTCGAAAAGAAGGATGCTTTTTGACAGAAAAAGATCAGATGCAACTCACCCTCCTCGCCCTTCGGTACCAAAGTCTTCGGAAAATATAAATTGCACATTCCGGATATAATTCCTTGACCATAAAGGTTCGAAAACAAGGTTGGAGAAGCGAAGCACTGAGAGGTTCTCAACAAGCTCCTTCCCCAAGTAATGATCAATCCTACAAAACCATAATCAAAATTAAGCTGTTCTTTTAGTTTTTATAACTTGTAATTTTCTTTCTAAAACTGCAAAATGTACCTGAATATCTGTTCCTCCGTTAGGTACTTCTTCAAACATCTTGTAAGCTCAGCCGATGATTCCGAATCACGGCCAAACGGCTTTTCGACAATGACCCTTGTCCACCCCTTTGCTGAAGAGGCTTTCCACGAATATATTTGGAGGTATCGACAAGTAAAATAACCTGTTCGACCGTTTTCCGGCCTGGAAATAAGCAATTTATATGTCGGTTTGCATGCATTGCATCTTCAGTAGGCAAAACCTATCCAGCTCTTGATCTAGAAGTACAAAATATGAACTCCAGTGAACATGTTACCTCTTTCTCTTTAAGCTTTCTGTCTAGTTCCACGAAATGCTCCTCGGAACTATACTCGCCCGAATGGTAAAAGCATCTCTTTAAGAACTGCTCCATTTTATCCTCACAATTTTCCCTACAAGTCATACCAGGAAATAAATCGACACAACGGGCAACGGCATACCGAGTTTTTAGATATAACATGATAGATTAATCAAATTATTTCAGCATGATATCGCTCTCACCTCTTATCGATTCTACAAGTTAAAGTTGTACAAATCATATTCCTGAGCTCTTCATCTGCCAGCTTAGTACGAGCATAACCAAAAATTACAAAGTTCTGCAATAACAAAAGAAAATAACATAAGAAAAAAAGATAAAAACTCAATAGTCATTTCTCCACCATACATAAAATCATGCAGACTCCGATTAACCAATTGCATTCGATCTTCGGAAAGCGAAACTATGTTTAGAAATGAAAAACATTACCTCAGGAAGCCAATCTTCATAGTAAAGAGCAAATAGTGCAGGAAATATTTTCTTCTTAGCAAGGTCCCCTGAAGCTCCAACAACAGTTATGCTGAGAGTAGAGTGAGCTTCCGCTCCATCCGAGATGTCGATGAAAAAATCGTCGTCTTCTTCTGCAGGGTTGATTGCTTTGGCCAAAGGACTTCCATCCATACCTAATCCGAAAAGCCCTCGAGGGATCCAAAACAGATCATATTAGCATATAGCATTAAAACTTTCCAGAAGTCATACAGCTAAAAAAAGGCAGCTAATTTCATTCAACAATTTCAAATGCCAACAAAAAGGCAGCTAATTTTCAAACATAAAACAGACCATGAAACAAAAACAAAGAGTAATTTAAATTGACTGACCACCCTGTGAAGAAACTGCGTTTAATGGATGTCCGTTGGAGGATTTGATCTGGAAATTGCTTCTTGCATGAATTATCGGGCAAACTTGAGAAAACCTCCTAGAGAAAAAACATTTTCTCGGCTTGAATTCAGAAGGGAAAGCAAGGGAAGAAGATGAAGTTGGGGAAGAACAAGGTGCAATTTGTGCAGCCATGCAAATTATATCAATGAACAAAAAAAAATACTTAAACAAATGTCAAAGCAACCATTTTGAGTGCATTGTCGGATTTTGTACCAAGTAAAGAAAAGAATGTAAAGAAAAAATCTTTGGAATGGTGGCCTTTAGAGTTGTTGAAAAGTTGAGTTCTTTGAGAAATGCTAATGAAATCTTCAATGTGAGGTCAGGATTTTGTTCCAATCTTATCAGGTTTTTATTTTTATTTTTTACCAAGTGAAAATGGCCCCTTGAGCATCGAGGATTCGTTTCTTCGGTTGAAATTTATTGAAAACAAGGAGAGATTGGAAAGAAATTTACGGGGCAAGTATCAAGTTCTAATCTTCATTTCTTCAACTTGAATTTCCTTAATTTGGGTTGGTATGATATTTATTCTCAACTATAATATTATACTATATTATTTTGATTAATATTGTTATAATAGTATCGGTTTGAGGTTAACTACATACAGTATATTACGCAATAATTGTGAAGATATAAATCGTTTATCTTCATACAATGAGTCAAGGTAGTATTTAGAATAAGGGTAAATAACAAATTTCATTACTTAATTTTATTTTTACTCTTATTTAGTCATTAAAATTTAAAAAATTTCAATTTACTTAATAAATTTTTGATTTATTCTTGTTTTGGTCACTCAATTGTTGAGTCATAAATGGAAGGACGACATGGCAGTCACATATATTAACGTGGACTGCTTTTGCTAACATGAAATCAGGTCCGTTTATGAGATTTTAGTGATTTGGAACGAACGTAAGCCTCTAATAAAAATATCGACAAAATTAAATTGCAAGAGCAAGAAAAATAAATAAATTTGTTTGTAAATTATTTTTTATTACAATTAATAAATTATCTAATAAATATATTAAATTTTAAATAAAAATATCAAAAAAAATTATTAAACACTCAATTACTAACACAAAATAAGCATGACCCTCTATAAAGAGGGTTCATATTCAATTTCAACATTCTCCATCTTGTCAAAAATAAAAAAAAAAGAATAATTAAATGAAAAGTAAAAAATAATTTAAAAATGTCACATCAACATCGGTGTTAATTTTTTAATGATAGAAAATAAAAAAAATAAAGTATACCATTAAGTATGATATTAAGGAAAATAATAATAATTAAACGATCAAAATAAAAATAAAATAATAAATTAATGAATAAATAAATAATTTATCCTTTTATAATTGCATAAGAACTCTATAATTTTAGACCCCGGGCAAGAGGGAGCCCTAGGCAGGTGCCCCTCTTGCCAAGGGCTATATAGAATTTATGTATCGTCCAAATCATTTTCTTATTTTTTCCCTTTTTCTGATTTTTATTTTTTTCATATAAAAATTAAAGTTTTACAATTTCATCCGCGTGTTCTGTAATTTTTTTTAATTCATACATTTTTACTCTATTCTATATTACCAATCAGAGGATAATGAAACACCTTCGTGTTTGCGGAGATTGTCACGTGGCATGAAAGTACATATTAAAGATTGTCGGTAGATTAATTAATTCGGTTCAATAAATGTTATAAATTAATAAAATAGAAAAGTTCCATGGGTTAAGCTTATTAAAACATATGATCGTATCGTCAACAATCTCTAAAGCAAGTAATGACACCTCAAAAGAAAGTATCACGTAGCTAGTGTTATATATATCAAGGAAACTCGATCTCAAGCAACATTATATATCAAGGTTAAATTTGAATTTAGAGAATATATAAAATAACCCTGAAACCGAAGAATGAATAAAATAAACTGTGGATTTCGATGTGAATGAGCATGCTTTCAATATAATTGAATTCAATTTATTCCAAAGTCTTATCCCTATATGGATCAAACGCAGATGTCGAACATGAATACTTTGACAAAATTAACTCGGAGCAACAAAGTCCTAGCATCTGTGAACCTGCAAGATTCAGAGGCATTGCATGAGCTAGAAAGTAATCGACAATGCAGTCTAACAGTCGGGAAGCTATGTATGAAAAGGAAGAGTTATGCAGTGTAACAGACCGAACCCGACTCTGATATCTCCATGCTGTGTGCTAAGTGAGAATCGATCGACTGATTCATACTCCGTTAAATCAGGTATGTATCCAACTCAGGTACGAATTTTTCAAAGGCAGCACAGTCAGTTACAATTAATCGCCACACGAACACTTACCATCTTCAAAAACGATGAAATCTGTTCGAGTCCCGAAGTATAATTAGTCTGCCGACGATCTTCGATATATACTTAAATGCCATATGACAATCTCCGCAAACACGAAGGTTTTTCATTATCCTAATTGGTAATCTGGAATGGCGTATGAGAACAAATGCAACGGCAAGTTTCTCACAATGGTAGCTAAGGAGTTCCTCTTTACTCTCAGGTTCCAAGTCATACAATGCGAATCTTGTCTCTGGAACGTATCCGGCATTCCTCATTTTTCGGTTAAGTTCCTTGAGTTTTGAATAGATCAAATCATTATCTGGGTGTGACTTATCACCTGCCACGAATACGTGGACGCCGTCTTTCATCGTGACCCAACTACAACCAGCTTCTTTCTTCGCATCTGCCCTTCTCATCGCCATCCTGGCCTCTGCCACACCATCCCACTTTCCCCCTGAAGCATACATGTTTGCAAGGAGGACGTTCACAGCATTTTGAGGTTCCAAGTCAAAGAGTATCTCAGCTGCCTTCCGACCCAATTCCATCTTCCGACCGTTTGTTCTGCAGCAAGCCCCTGAGATTGTCCTCCATATAAGAACATTAGGCTTAATCGGCATGGTATCAATAAAATCTTCTATTTTGTCAAGTTCGCCCGAGGAGATCCACCATGCATGAAAAGTGTTCCATCTTGGGAGTCAACCCATATACTTCCTGCATTGAGTTGAAGTGAGAAAATCCTTCATCGACCAGTCCCACGTGGCTACAAGCCGATAAGACCCCAACAAAGGTCACGTGATCGGGTAATTGACCATCTAGCTTCATACGCATAAAGAGCTCAAGAGCTTTGTCTCCATGTCCATGACAAGCGTAGCCTGATATCATAGAATTCCAAGAATATACGTTCCTTACCGGCATCATATTAAAAAAACTTGAAGCATAATCTATCCTTCCACATTTCGATTACATGTCAACAATTGCACTTCCAAGTTCCAACTACAACATCAGATTCTAAACAAGCTCTTATGGAACAAGCATGAACTTCCATGCCACGCTCTAGTGTTGCAACTGAAGCACAGGCGCTTAGGACAGTTGCAAAAGTGAAACCATCCAGTTTTTGACCCCCCTGCATGATAAACCAGACTAAATTAACGGCTTTGTCCAAGAGCTCATTATGTATATACCCAGAGATCATGGAATTCCAACTAACTTAACCTCTTCTCTCAGACATCCTGGGGAAGATCTTCTCTTCTAGCATTCAAACATCTCCCTGCATTTCCCATAAAAGCCAAAAAGTGCATTCTCAATGGAACTGTCATTCGCAAGATCGTGTTTGAGTACTAGAGCGTGTATATGATGGTTCAATTTGCTGAGTGAAAGAGATGACGCTGCCGCAAGAATGTTTATAAAGGTTATTCTATTAGGAACCCACCCATAACACATCATGTCCAAAAAGTATATAACTACATCTGAAAATGAAGACTGAGTCAGCTAATGCTCCAATCATAGAATTCCATGAATCTTGATCAAGGTCCAGCATCAAGGAGAAAACGTTCTTACATTCAGAAAGGCATCCAATAGTTGCATAGAACGCAAGAAGAGCGTTTGATACCGAAACATCCAGATCAAGTCCCAATTTGAGAGCTTCACAGTGTACCTGTTGTCCGGTTATGCTCCAGCCCAAGCTTGCACATGAACTTAGAGCACTTATTACTGTATAATTCGAAGGCGTTAATCTAGTTCTTCTCAATCCATTGAAGCTTGTTACAGCATCTTCAAAACACTCATTCTGGTCAAGACCAGAAATCATGGTATTCCAAGAGACTAAATCTTTATTAACCATAAGGCTAAAAACAGAACTAGCAGCAGCAATATCACCGCTTTTAGCATACATGTTAATAATTCCATTTCCAATTGCAACCACTGTGTCGTTTAAGCCCCTACGAACTAAATAACCATGAACTTCTCTACCTTTCTTTTCCCTTGTTCTGACATGGAAAATTCAGCAAAAGAACCTAATAGAATAACATAAGAATCAAAATTTATATCAACTGAGTTCATCGTCTCCCTAAAAACTTCTGTTGCTTCTTCCCCACATTTCTCCCTTACCAATCCAACCATTCATAGAGACCGCATTTCTCCGACTCATTTTCCCAAAAATCTTCATAGCATAGTTAGTTAAACCAAACCTTGCAAAACCACTCACCAAAGCACTACCCACGTAGAGATCTGAGAGAAACCCACAAGCAGCAGTTACCAAACTCCCAAATGTATATTCATTAGGCTTGAAAATGAACTCTATGCCCTCTGTTTGCATCCTTGAAAACAACTTGAATGCAGACACTGCATCCCCAGTTTGTGAATAAACTGATATAACACTGTTCCAAGATATTGAATTTTTAACCTGTAAATTATCAAAAATGCGAAGAGCATCAGAAACACACCCCAAACAACTCCCATACATTGATATCAGCGCATTACAAACAACTCCATCAAACGTATACTGAGATTTTGAAATCAACCCATGAATTTGCAAACCAAATTGAAGACCACAGGATCCGAGCTCCTGACAAGCTCGAAGAACACTGCCAAAGGCATAATGAGTAGGCCAAAAACCCATAGAAATCATCTCTTTAAAAACCCCACACGCCTCATTAGGCATCCCACTTTGGCTATACCCTGAAATCAAGCAAGCCCATGTAACAGGATTCCTCTCACGCATTTCGTCGAACAATTTTCGCGCAGACAATAAATCACCAGCTCTTACATACACATTGATAAGGGTGTTGGACAAGTACAAATATACATTAAACCCATGTTTTAAAATCAGCAATTGAAACTCTTTTGCGTCGGTTAAGCTAAGAGCATATTTGTAGCGAGTAACCAAAGATTCGCATAGCTCGAAAGTTGAAGCTGAGAATGATGGAAACTCCAGATTGAGATGATTTATAGTGATTAAGCAAGTTTTCCAATGGGGTCGGAGAAGGAAGAGAAGGGTTGATTAAGGGATCGGCGTTTTGGGGTTTGCAAAGAAGTTGATTGGTGGCGTGCGTGGCCAATGAAGTGAAAGCAAGTGATGAGTTGCAGGCAATACGACATGGAGTTTGAATAGATGGTGGGAAGAGAAACCGGAGCATGGCGGCGATGAAAGTCGACCTTTCTGTTTCATGCTTTTTGGCGCCCCTTTTGTTTTCATTCTAATTATCAGCATTTCAACTAACTTGTATGTTAAATGGGTTAAGGTTAGATAGAGTGAAGAGTCCAAATATACCACTGAAAAGTTCTCGTTGAAATCAACAAATAATGCTTTAAGATTCAGTTCTTCGATTTATTTATTTTGGCACAGAAACAAAAACAAAATCCACCCTTTTTCACGTAAAATAAGTAAATACGGTGGCTCAACAGTTTGACCAAATGCTTTCATAGAATAAACAGGAAACAAAACAGGTTTTCTGCCATTTAAAAACAGAAACAAGACAACATAAATACTATCAATGGAGGGAACAGCAAAGGGTCTCAAGAAACACGAAAGTTGAATGCCGATCCTCCCAACCCGGACAAAGGATAGCTCGAGCTACAGGTTTTCTGGAATTGAAACTTGGAGCCACAGGGAACTATTTCACCTTCTGCTGTACCAATACCTTTGAGATGTTCGTAATTGTTCGAGAAGGATCCGTCTACATCCTTCTGTATTTGCATGTGACTAGCAACCAGTCTTCTGAAACTGTTTATCCTCCATAGCTGGAAAAGAGTTCATTATCAAGTCAAGGATCATTTAGAGGTTCACTGTACAGTAGCCTCTTATACACCAAAAGCAGCAACATCGGCACCATATGATGCCCAGGCAGTTAGATATTGCCTCAGTCTATGGAATAGTAATGCAAGAAAGATACATAATGTATCCTAAAATAAAGAAGGTTCTAAGATATTCACTATTGTTTTATCAGGTTTTCTCGTTACTGAAATCTTCGATTCTGCAGCGAACTTTTCACCTGCGTTATAAACTTCTAATGGCGAATGCCCCTTGATAGGTTGAGCAGCATCAGGTATCATCCAGACTCAGAAAGACCACAACTTGACCCCAAGGTCTGAAGACGTTTGATTGGTTGAGACTTGAGAACACAAGCCACTGATACGGTTCATGTGGAAGCTGCAGTACCGTTGTTTCAAATCTCATCAGACTCCCATGGACATGGGTTTTCAACGGTGACCCAGCTGGTGAGCCAATGGAAATTCTAAAAGAACAATGAAGGATGATCTTTCGGCCTCTCTAAGATACTGTACAGTACCATTCATAATCTTTACAAGCTTCTGACTGATGTATAGGCCTAGACCTTCTCTTGAGACACCCTGCCTGTGGTGGAACATATCCCGAATTAAATCTTCGGGGACACCCGGCGCTGGATGAGTGATCCTGCAATATAATCATTCAAAGTCAACAGCCTTATTTTGATTCTTTATCTGAGGATATATAGACATGATAAAACTGCTCTATTCTATCCAGCTGCATCTATTATGAACATAATAAAGCATACACAGCAAAGGGATTTTACCGAAATTCAAGATGAACAATGTGTATCTTTGTTCCAATACGTTCCTTCCAAGGAATCACCCTGAATGCAACTGATGATTCCTCAAATGCAGGAGTGAAAAGGAGTGCATTTGTCAAAAAACCAGAAAGGACTTGCTGAAGCCTCAAATTGTCTCCATACAAGTACATGGATGAGAGTCCAGAAGGTAACTCTTGGATAACCTGAACTTGGCGCTCCTGGCTCATTAACATAACCTGTTTCAAGACAGCTTCCAAGGCTTCTCCAAGGTTAAACTCCCCAGAGTCCATTTCCATGTAGCTACAAGTGTCAGATAGAGCAAGCTTCCGTTAAAAAGAGAGAAGGTTAACTTATGAACATCATACAAAAAATGAGAAATGTTAAATCCATGAAAGATTTGATTGTAAAAAACCCAGAATTAACTAATTCAAAAAGAACAAAGATCAACAGCAACAAGGTAACAGACATGTTAAGTACTCCTACCACTCCTCGATACTTTCAATGTCTGTGTCATCAACAATCTTGGTCATTTGTTCTTGACACGTTATACTTGTCCTCAGAAGCCGCTTCTGCTCTCTACTCAAATCAGAAGACCCCATTAGATCCTGCATTAATGCAATTCCTTTCATAGGCTTCCTGAGTTCTTGACGGATGTAAGCCAACTTGTTGAAGCTACTAGCTGCTGCCTGTTCAGACATCCTCTGCACCTGTAAAGCATATTGAAGCTCAGGGCTAGCTACATGCAAAAAACACAAAATACCAGTGATCCTTCCGTTCGCATCTGTCCTTTTGTTTGCCGAAAGTAATACTTCAACAAATTTACCCTGCTGATCAAAGAACCCAAACAGTAATTTATCTGCATCCTCACCCGCAGTTATCCCATTAAATAAAATCCTTAGTTTGGTTAAGGTGTAATGATCCTTCACCCTACAGCCCAACTTATCCAGTGTAAAAACCTCCCCTAAAAGCATCCTATTAATGGCTTCTTCCCTCTTCATGCCAGTCAACTTTTGCATTGCATCATTCCACTCCAAGCATCGGCCGAATTCATCGACCATAAAAATTGGGGGAATAAGAGCAGATGGGTTCCTCATAATACCAACATAGTCACTCTGGACACGGGCATATTTGTTTATGATTGTCTTTTGGCCGGTGAGATCTTGCCCAACAAAGCAAATTCCAACAACATTTTCCTTTATGTCTCGATTACAACATGCATTAACAACTAAGACTATAGGGCCATTATTTCCCTGACAACCAAAAGTCTTAAGCTTGATTTCGATGCTTCGTTCTTCTATACCTGTCATTTGTCATCAACGTGAAAAGCAAGCTTAACTTCAAAACCACCAACATAAAAGGAAAAATTAGAGAAGATAGAAGTACAACAAACAAAGGTGAGTAATATTTAGAGCAATCTTACAAAGGAAATGCTGAACTAAATGGCTCATTGAAAATAAAGAGTTAAAAACATCACACCATTTCTCTATGGGGCTATCACAAAAGGATCAATTAGAAATAAACATGATTCAACTATTTGATGATTCAACAAGTTGTTCATTGTTTTTAAGAGAGATACATAGTTGATAATAGGTCAGAAAGCCAAAAGAAAACCTTTATCCGAATACTCATATCAAAATGCCTACAAACATGTCACCAGTAAATAACACAGCTACGCACTCCATAATGCAATTGAGCTGCTGCTGAACTAACATATAAAATAATGGATGAAAATGCAAGTTTGATGGGGGATCTGCCGATTGCACAGTCGGTCAGAAACCCCAACAACCGGAATTGGTCTAGTGGTACCAGGGGAGCTCGACAATTCCCCTTAAGGCTTTGGGGGTGGTTTCTATTACCCCAAACGCATTTCAACACCAATTGTGTCATTCAATGCCAATTGGTCCTCCAAGGTTCGCCACTTCTCCAATCGGGTCCTCCAAGTCACCAAACCCTTCAATTGGGTCCTTATGGCTCTTTGCCCAAATCAATTGGGGTGAACCACACACAGTTGCTCAGCACTCAAGGTAACTCACGGTATGTATGACGCAATTCAACCAGACACTCCCAGGACCTTGTTGGGAGACAAAATCCCAAGGCTGAAAACGCCCACAAGCACCCTCGGAAAACAATATCTTTCGGTTGGTGGGGGTTCCAACTGATTGCCCAATTGGGAGATACCTAAACAATAAAACCTCGAATGACGAGTTTCTGGTTGTGGTTCACCCATGTTGATTTGGGCAGAGAGCAACGGGAACCATTGGAAACTTGGAGGACCCAATTGGAGAAGTGGCGAACTTTGGAGGACCAATTGGCATTGAATGGCACAATTGGTGTTGAAATGCATTTGGGAGAATATAACCTGCACCCTCAAGCCGTAAGGGGAATTGTGGAGCACACACAAGGTTCTATTCTCTCAAATGCATTTCAATGGCAATTGATCCTCCAAGGTTTGCATCTTCACCAATTAGGTCCTCTAAATCTCCAACCCCTTCAATTGGGTCATTGTGGCTCTCCACTCGAATCAACCGAGGTGAACAACACACGAGCTCGACATCCAAGATCAGGCATGGTAAGTACAACATGATCTGCATATCGTGCTCTCCTCAACCGAGGAGCTCCTTAGACCCTCTTAAGGGTCAGGAGACAAAATCCTAGGGCTAAAACGGCACTCATGTACCCTGGAAAAACAATACCTTCCGATTGTTGGGGATTCCGACCGACCGTGCAAGCGGGAGATCCCTCAAAATAAGCGATACGGTTAAAATAGAGGTATATAAGAAAGAAACAAAAACATATATATCCATAATGCATAAATACACGGTTCAATTGAACATGCATATAGTTTCAAGACCAATAAAAAAGTAATATCTAATAAAGCAGCATGTTCAAAAGATAAATCCCACTAGTACCTTCTAAGGCTAATGAATGCATGTTTTTGACAATATTGATCGAATCATCCTCGACAAGATCAAACAATGGCATGCCAATGGCTTGCTCAATTGTCAGGCCAGTGAGTTCTGCTGCTTTGGAGTTCCATCCATTAATGTTACCAGAGGAGTCAACGGCGAAGATTGGGACAGCAGCTGTCTCAATCAGGTGGACCATTTCATTAGTGACAACACGCAGTTCATCCACCCTCTGAATCCTGTCATCTATAGATGGTACATTCACAATCATTTTTGAATCGTCAGCAACCTCATCTTGCAAGGAGCCTTTCAATATCAGCTGTAAGGAATGAATTGCATCCATTTCTATATCCTCCCAAGGCAGGCTACGCCACTTGACAACCTCCAAAAAAGCCTTGAATGATGATCTGGGATGCATCTTTCTTCCATCATCCTTGTCACCAGGATCATGCTTTGCACCACCCCACTTGATCTCTTTTGCTGTATGGGACCGGAACCAAAACAGGAAATCTTTAGCAGTGATCCTAACAGCAGCCATCCCACAAACTGCCTCTCCAAGACCAGAAGCACCTGGATAGCCAGCTTCCATAAGGCTATCAGTACTTAAGCCTGTACTGCTACTATGGTACTTGAGAAGCCACTCAGCTATATCCCTGATTTGTGCGTTTGTAGGGGTAACTCCAAGCAACCAAAATTTCTGTTTGTAGTAAAGTGCAGCCCCATCACACTTAACAAGTTCCATGACATTTGGAGATTTAGTAACAATTCCTACAGGAGAATCTCTCAACAACATGTCACAAAGAACGGTCTGAGTTCGCAGAATATGCTTCTCCCTCATTTGGGCAGCCAATTCCACTTCCTTGTTAACTTGCACAGCAAATACTTGAATGAGAAACTCACAGGCGTATCGCAGTGGAAATGGAACAAACCTGGGTCTAGTGTGATGGCAGACCACTAATCCCCATAATTTTTTCCCCTTGTCCTGCTCACTATCCATCTCATCATCATTCTCATTGATAGTTACTGACATCACAAGAGATGCAATTGATCCCATACTTGCCATATACTGCGCATGACATCCATGAGGAGATCTTAACGTGGATCCAAAAAGACTTAATGGTTGAGCCAATCCTTTGTCTTGAATCACCTTAACTGGTTGGGCAGAACAATCACATATCATTCTAACTTTGTTTTTCCTGAAAAGGAATCTTGAGGCTTGTGGTATGTCAGTAGCTGGATAATGCAACCCTAGATAAGGCTCCAAATCAGGTCTATGACTTTCAGCAATTACTTCTCCATGTTCGTCTTCATGAAATTTATAAACCATTATCCTATCATAACCTGTTAAATCACCAACTTCCTTAACTAAAACATCACATAACAGATATATGTTCCCACTTGGCAAGGACTGTAATCTCGAAATGGCTTTGGATGCCAACTTATAGGACTTCAAAGCACCAGCAGCAGTTATTGGCACCTCAGCTGGGTTAACTGGTTCTAGATCTATAACTAGTGCAGCTTCAATCCTATGCAAAATAGCATAAAAGGGCTTGCCTGATGTTTTACAATGAACCAATATCGGATTGAGAAGATTAACTTCCTCAAAATTAGCAGCTTTCTGCAAGGCCGCCGCACCTGGAGAACTAAATAACGCTATTACGTCGCTTCCAAAAGTCAGAGCCTCTTGCTGCTCTATGTTTGGAACAGCATGAGGTGCCAAGTCCAACATTTCCGGAGCATTTTCGCTATAAGCAAGAACCGTGAAGTTCTGCTCATCGACGGCAATCAAGCAACCAAAGGGCTGAATCAGATTCCCCCTTTGCATCTTTTGAAGGTAAGCTGACACCGTAGAAGATGGAACATTACTGGTTGAGCTCGAAACGTTGAAGTCAACAGAAGTGGAGTAATCAAAAGGCCTCTTGGATTCTTCAAAGTCCACATGGAGCTTGGCATCAATTGTGGTCTGTGCGACCACACGAGCGTTATGTTTTGATCTAGCAGAGCTGCTCCTAGAACAGTTACTCATGTTTGTCGACTTGGATGACATTTTTTCAAACACCCCTATTCCTCTTTCTTCTTCTTCTTCTTTTTTAACCCATATAAACTTAATATTTCAAAATCACCATAACCAAAAGAAAAAGCTTAAAGTTTTATATGGAATCTACTAATCTTTGTACTGCCACTGCCAGAACAAAATATGAACTCCAAAATTAAATTAAAATTCCCATGCTAGAAGAAAACTATTCATTGTCAGAAAGAATCTCCTGGACCCGGGAATCATGAGCAAAGTAAAAAATATATATCCCACATAAACCATTAAAAGAAAAAGTTACCAGCTTTTTCTCCCAAGATAATTCTGACGATTCCATTCTCAACTCAAAAATAAAAGGCCACCAATGAAATAAAAAGGCTCACCAGCAAAAAAAGAAAACAGATTCCACCACCTTCACACAACCTAAACGGGCAGATTCATCGTTATTTGTCTCTCAAGAAATCCTACACGAAAATGAACAAACGAACTCACGTAATCAACCCATGACTTAAAACTGCTCTGTAGTACAGCTCATAATTCCGTGAAACAACTCTGGTTTGACAAAATCCAAACCCCCAAATTAAACCCAATGCTTTAAAAAAAACTGTGCGTTAATTGAAGATGTGTGATATGGTGGGTGTGGATGGGTATTAAAAGTAGGGTAAACTACGTATAAGTCGTTCAATTCTCACTATAATTTCATTTTTGTCACTCAACTATTTTTTTCAAAATCATTATTAACATCACGTTTTTATTTCATCTTGGTCATGCGTCGTTAAAAAGCTAACAAAACTACTAATGTAATTTTTTTTAGTTTTTAATGATGACATGACATTATTTTATATTAACATCACTATTAATTTTTAATGATATATGATCAAAATAAAATTAAAAAGTAATATTAATTATAATTTTGAAGAAAAAATAATTAAATAACTAAATAATAAGTTTACCCTAAAAAGTAAAAACAAGGTAAACAACTTAGATAGTCCTTATACTATAGTGTGTTTCTTAGTTGCATCTTCTGACCCTAAAACACTATTAAATGATCACTTGAGTTGTCAATGTTTATAAAATCACCATTTTTATATAAAAAAAAAATTGATGGGGTAAAGGGGCTTTTAACAAAATTAGTGCGATAATAAATTTAATTTTAAATATTTATATTTATTTAAATTTAGGTTTAATTTTAAAAATTAATTCTCAGTATTTAAATATTATATTAAATTAAAATTAATTTATATAAATGTTAAATAGAAAATTATTATTATTATATCAATGTTCTAATTATCATGTCCTCTCCAATTAATTATTTAATTTAAGAGCATTATTTTGTAAGTTTCAATATTATAGTTAATGGACCTAACTTTACCTTAAAATCATAATTTGAGTTTATGCAATTCAGGAGGGGCTGACAACTGCCTTTTTGCGGCTGTGTATGGTGTGTTGCACCTTAAAAGTAAAATTTTACTGAAAAATCATCTATTTATTTATATGATTCTTTTTCTATTATCTAATTATATCTTATAAAAAATTACATATAATATTATATTTTGATTCTATTTTGATCATTCAATGATGATGTTAATGTGTCACTATGAGTTAATATTACGTTAATATTGAAAAAAATATCACGTCAATATTTATATTTATTTTTTAATGATAAGTGACGAAAACGTAATCTTAAATATAATTTGAAAAAATAATTGGATGACCAAAACAAAACCTAAAAAATTAATAGGTAACTAAACACATAATTTGCTTCTCTAAGGAAAAAAAATAAACGTTTAGAGAAAAAGAGTTTTATAAATTAAATAAAAATATTACAAGAATATAATTGATGTTACTAGAAAATATTACGAGAATATAATTTTATTAATATTAAATCTCTGATTAAGTTAATAATCTGTTACGAAAATAATTAATTTTTTTATTAATGAAAATAATTACATTTTATTTTTCAAATAGTAATAAATATGATTTATAATAGTACAAATATATTTTTATTTTACCAAAAACAGTATTAATATATTATAATCTATAATCTTTAAATAATACACTGAGAATCACTATTAAAAAGTGACATGAAGTTAATCGTTCCTCCAAGTACTAGAGTGATACTACAACCAATAAAGATATGAAAGAGAGAAAACTAAGGGAGCGAGCTATGGAGCTCAATGTGACCTCTAAATACAAGTCAAACGACAGAGAATAAGGTTCAACATACAATCAGTACACGATAATGGATAATATAGACATGACATATTCAAACTACATCAAATACGGCATAAATGCAATGCAAACCATGTATCCCACCTACGTCGCCAAACAGTTATTGAATGTTAACATCCGTTAAGAGTACACCAGTCTGTATTTCGGTAATTGGATGTTACCATCCCATAAGGATACCCCAACCTGTAGTTCGGTATTGGATCTTAGCATACAATAAAGATTTTAACTGAATATTTGGGTTTAAAAGCAGAAAACAAGAAAGAAAACTTCGGTTCCCACTTCCCATGAGCATACAGTGATACCCCAGCAAATCCATATTTTAGTTGGCACGCATCTACCTAGTGAGCCCCTGGCAAGGTACAAACTGGTGACTGATGACATAAAAGAACAAGTCGATAAGCTAAAAACCAAAAAACATATTGTATTGGGGGGCGACCTGAGAATGAAGCTCCATCAAACACCAACAAATTACGTCGATATTGTTATAACATCTCATCGTCCCATTGATGAAGTCAACATTTATCCGTACGCCTAATACCATAAATTTCCTCTTAATGTAGCAGTGAAGTAGTTTCAAGACCATAACATAGTGGCCTTGGATTCATATAGGCTCAAACAGAAATACAGAATAGGATAAAATGCCTAATGTTGGGGGGGGGGGGGAAGAAGCTCAAATTGGAGGTCTCTTAACAGGTTAACGTACAAGCATTGAATTGCACCGACTTATATCTCATAGGACAAGCACCGAGCATCAAATTGCTTCAAATTCAATAAGAAAACAAGAATAATCTAGTCTCATTGCAGCTAAATTTGGAGAAAGAATAAGAGATTTCATCAACGTTACAAAATTATAACTCAGAATCTATATGTTTCTAGAAACTATGGAAGAAAGTAATCCAGATCTCACCAGTTACGACAGAGGGAAACTGAGATGCTTTAGACTCAACCCATCACATCTAAAGATGTGTTGTATGAATGGTACATTTGAGCAAAACTCAAGCACAGTTGATGATCTCTGTGATCCCCCCAGCCACCCCAGCCCTTAAACCCAGCTTTATACCCAGCTTGATCGTGATACACGTGCACACCCCATTCCGATCTGATATTAGCAACCTTATCAACATCATCTACTTGAATGTTCACTGATCCATTATCAATGCAAGCATTACTCTGCCCTTGGCCCTGATGCAAACCGCACTTCCCAAAGTGAACTGCACTAGTCCTTGGACCTCGTAATGTGTACACCGGCCTGCCAAATGAAGGATAGACCGTCGCCCACATTGTTATATCCCAGTTGTAATCGTCAAAGAAGCAAAACTCTTTACCCTTCCAATGGATTTTTCTCCAAACAGTCCGATTGAAGGCATATCCAATGTTTCCCATCCTCTCTGCAACCAAACTATCCCAACCTTCCCCTCTTGCATTCACGTCACAAGGTGCAAGATTTGCAGCATAGCAATCCTGGCATTTGATAGGCTTCAGCGAAACAAGAAGCTGTAGATTGCGATATGCATTGGGGTAAATGAAGTGATCCTCCTCTATGAAAAGAATATGCCCATCATGCCCTTTGGTCTCCTTCAAACCGTCCCATACAGTATTCATCATCCACCACCAATGATGCTTCAAAGAAACTATCTTCGGAGACCGGTGGTTACCATACTGATCAGGATTCCCAACACAATGTTTCTCCCCTGCATCACCTTTTTCCTTGCAGTCATCCGATGAAACACCGGGAAAACCGTCGGTAAACACGTGGGGCGAATACGGTGCAAAAATCTGCTTCACTTGGCAAAATTTGATCCCTTCCACAATCTTATTCATTTCTTCAAAGTATCCATCGTGGCTAACTATCAGCAATGTCTCACTTATCCCCGCAACCTTGGACAAGCTTTCAACAACCACTCGGAGATATTGAGGCCGATTATGCACGTATAAAACAATGGTTATATGATCTTTAGCTAACTTAGGATACAGATCTCTATTCCTAGGGGGCAATTGATTTTGTTTTTCCAATAGAGTCGAAAACTCATTCAGTTTAGGAAGGTTGAGCATGCCACTAAAGCTCTGAACATCAATGGTTTCACTTAAATCTTCATTTAATCGATTTAAACCAGGCGTTGTATTGGTCCTAAGAGAAACTACCAAAAGTGAAACTCCTAATAAAGTAACTAAAACAACATATAGCAGACGCTTAAGAGCTGCATCTTTCAAACGCAGTTTCCTGGTATTAGCCATAGAACAAACAATACACAATCTCAAACAACTTCCAAATCAATTTTTTTCTCTTCAGGAAAAAAAACAAACTTCACATCCGTAAACAATCTAACATCAAAGAATAAAAGCAACCCGTTTTAGAAGAAGCTGAAAAAGTAAAAGGGTAAGTTCCAAAAACCTCAGAGCTTTTTCCCTTGCCGCAAAATCAATGGTTTTAGCGGTTAAAAAGAGACCGCAAAACTCATGGGAAATGGGGATCGAAGTTTGGATTCGAGGTAAGAGGAGAGATCGAGAACAAGAAATAAATAAAAGGAAAATAGATAGCACCCATGGCCCATGATCAGAAAAGATCAACGGTGCAATTTACTTGGTTGACGGTTTTACAGTGAGAAAAGTATTCGGACAAGGAGATTTGACTTTGGTTTAGACAATTAAGACGGTAAGTCGACAGATAAACGCGTCAAAAACTCAGGTGGAGGGTTTAACGATGGTACTGTTTAATTTAATGAACAAGTTTTGTCAAAACAAGTTCAGCTTTAAATTTAACTGGTTAATATAAACAACTTAGAAATGTTTTGTTGTTTGTTTGGGTCGGATTCCACAATGGGAAGCTTCTTTCTTCTTGTTCTTGCCTATTTCTTCTTTTGTTTGATTGCAAGTCTAAAAGACAACATTTATGTTGAAATAAAAATAGATTTTATATTCTCTTGTTAAAATATACTAAGTATTTGACCTTCTTTAGTGAATTTTGATAAACTGTTTTAATTATTAAGATATATTAATTAATTTGATGATCAAGATGTCTAATTGTCTCATCTTGAATGGATTTCAATTTTAATATTTATCTTACTAGGTAAATACCTCTCTATTAAATAAAAAAATTAATTATTTGAGAATTTTAGTTTTCAAATAAACATATTAAATAAATAGATATTTTATGTCAAGTTAAAGTTCTTATATGAAATTTAATTGGTTAATCAAATGTTTGAAATTAGTTTTTTTACTTCCAAAATTTAACAGCAAATAATAATAATAGTAGTAGTAATAGTAATAAATATTGTAACCAGAGAAAATATGTTAAGATTTGGATGATAGACACATAAGGACTGATCAAAAGATTTTAAGAGCGGTCGTATCTTAAAATTTTAAATTATCACGTAATATAGGTAATTTTAAATTTGTCCCTAACATAAAATTATATATTCATTCCTAAATGGACATCCTACTTATAATTCAATATATATATAATTCAATTTATTATTGAATACCCTATGGTTAAATGTAGTGTTGTTTTCCCAGATTTGAACAACTACATCTTTAGGATGCGTGTGTATTGCTAATAATTAAAAAATATTATAAATAAATATTATTTTATAATCATCTTATACTATTAAAAATCTTATTATTGAATACAGTGGTTTTAAGTAAGATTCAATTGATTCCCATTTGAATTGCAGCCGGTTGATGCTTAGCCATAAGTTTTCGATGGGTCATCAACCCTAATCATTTTAGCTTTAAGTTCACTTCATTCACACATTTATTTTCAGTGTTGCTTTAGGCAATTTCTTTTTTTTTTTTAATTTCCTCCTACCATACTAGTTAAAAATCTTTTATACATGAAGAAAATTTCAAATAATCAAAATGTGTCCGGTTACATTTTCTAGGCAAACTCACGGAATAATGCATTGAAAAAAACAATTCATCATATATTGCTCTCGAAGAATTAATTGTTGAAAGAGGACGATTGCTACAGATTATTTGTAGGTCGCCATATATGCCGTGCGACCTTATAGGCCGCCATGGAGATCGTGCGACCTTGTAGGTCGCCATGGAGACAGTGCGATCTCGTCCCTGATTCTGCTCCAATAGCCGCATGCTTAAAAAAATGGTTCCACTGATCATGACATTTTGTAGCCATTGCAATTTTATATATTAATATATTTTGTTAGTTTTATTTTTATTTTTTTAATGTAAAGGAAAGGCTAAAAACAAAGACCAGTCTTAATCCGCAAATAATATGTATATTTTCATTAAAAATAATTTTTTTTGTAAAAGATTAAAAATTTAGCCAAAAAAGTAATATTAAAAATTGAATTTATCATTAAATCATTAATTTTTTTAACGATTCTAATGGCGTCAACGATGATGGTCACGAATTGACAATGGTTGATCGACAATGAAAGATGTACAATTTGGGGGTTTTGGTTTTTTTAAAAAATGTATAATATTAATTTTTTTAAAATAAAATAATTTTTGAAATTTTATATGTAATTACTAATGAGGAGGCATATATCTTGGTAAATTAGGACATTTGTTTTTTGAGTGACCTTCACCTCTACATAATTCACATATCTTTGGTTGACCTCTCTCTAGCATGAAAATCCATACTGGTATGAATACGGCTAGACTCAGCTCGACCCTTTGGACTTCTACGAAACATTGAATTTGGCAGCTATTCGTCATGATCCTTTTTGGGCCAATATGATTCATTTGGTATCTGTCTGAACGCATAGCTGTAGACATTTAATATCCTATGTAGATGAAATCATCCATCAATATAAGTGTATACGCTAACACCAGCATACATACATGCAGTGACTGCATGAGCACATGGATATTTCCATGCCTGAAAGCGACCACAATCACACGTGTCACACATATAAAATTACAAAAATTATTTTATTTAAAAAAACTTAATATTATACATATTAAATGTCTACAGCTATGCGTTCAGACAGATCCCAAATGAATCATATTGGCCCAAAAAGGATCATGACGAATGGCTGCCAAATTCAATGTTTCGTAGAAGTCCAAAGGGTCGACATGAGTCCAGCCGTATTCATACCAGTATGGATTTTCATGCTAAACAAAGAGATCAACCAAAGATATGCAGATTATGTAGGGGTGAATGTCATTTTAAAAATATCCTAATTTACCAAGATATAGGCCTCCTCATTAGTAATCATATATGTATTTCTATGTTTTTTTAATAATATTTAAGTTCATTTTTAATTGAATTATTTATATTTTATTTATATTTTATCTTATTATTATTTATAAATAGTCGAATTTATTAAATTTAAATCAAATTTATAAAATTTATGTATGGGCAAAATGACCTCAATAATGCATGGGGGTTATTTTTTCCCCCAAAATAATGCATAGAGAATTATTACTAATAATTATTTAATATGATTAATTAATTATTAATATTATCAATAATGTTTTAATAATTATTATTAATCTAATGATTTGATATTTAATGATTTAGTAATGATATGATTTACTAATAATTACTAATAATTATTTATTATAAATATTTAAGGATTTTGATTTGATATTAATGTATTAGTAATGATCACTAATAATAAAATTATAAGATTTGATAATGATTTAATAATAATTTTTAATAATTTACTACTAATTTGATAATATTTTTTTTAAATATCAAATAAATTTGTTAATTGATTTTTATAAAATTTAAGATTATATTCGATTTAAATTTTACTCTTTACTCAAATGAAAAATTTTTACTAAAGGTTTTGAAATTTAATCGAGTAAAAAACTCAATTTAGACTAAGTAGTACCGAAATTGATAAGGCAGTACCAAAACCATGGAAACAGAACCTCAAAATAATATCGATACTACTAATAATTTATTATTAATATTTAATGATTTAGTAATGATTACTAATAATGATTTATAAATACATACCTTAAGGTACTCATCCTCTTCATTCTTGAGGGCATTTCAACTGATGTTGTAAATATATTCCAACTACTATACTATGTCATTCTACCAGTTTGCTCTTCCATCCACTTGGAAACGATGACTGACAAATACTGATATTATGATTTGAAACATAAAAAACAATAATTAAATCACGAATACTCGGATATTTTTATATTACTTCTACAGAAATTTTCGAGTTTAATAAAATCTTATACATCATTGATATAACTAGAGATGGGCATGAGACCCGAACCCGACGGGTTTCGACTCGACGGGCATGATATAACTAGGGTTCGGGTCTAGTCGGATTTTTATTTAATGTAATGTTCGTGTCGGATAGGGTTTAGGGTGAAAAATATCCGACTCGACCCAACCCAAAAAAATATATAATTTTACCTTATATATTTAGGAATAATTACAATAATATCCCTATATATATATTATTTTTTTCAATTAAGTCATTGTTTTTATTTAATAAAAATAATATTTTTTATTATTATTTCGGGTAGAATTTTTAAGTTATATATTGGGTTCGGATCGGGTGAAATTTTTTTTAGTTGGGTCAAGTCAGATCTCAAGTGGAAGATTCATTGTTCACGGATCGGGTGGACCAAAAACCCGACTCATGTTCATCTCTAAATATAATCAATGGTACGACTTACAGAACACGATATGTCTGACATTTAATATTAAGACTCCCTAATTAAATACATTAAGTATTGCATTAGAATGTTTAATGGAAAATTATTTAAAAGCAATAAATAAATAAAATTCGTCATATACGAAAGGAGCAAAATTATTTAAAAGTAATTATTTGTAGGATAAAAAGAAACGAAAGAAAGATGAAAGACTTGACTTGGCAAATCGGAGAATCGAGCACTTCACGCGCATGAAAACATCAAAGGCTCATGATTTGCCACATGTAACCGAGAGGGAGGACCATGATGATGAGTTGCCATTGCCAGCTCGATTCAGCTTAGCCAGCCAAAATCGCGGAGCCGCAGCAGCCGCCTAAAGATTCTCCTTCACCCTAAAAGGTTAAAAACGCACTCCCCAGCACCACGTGTTTCATTTCCAAACCTTTAGATCATCGGGTCCCATATAAAATCCAACGACCTAAATTACATTTCGCGAGTCCACTCTTATCGATAAACAAAAGGTCCAAAACCAACCACGTGTCAACCCCGATGCATTATTATGCCATCTATCCAACGGACCCAAACAACCTCTCTTTCTGTCTCAGTATTCGACACGACGACACCCCCTCCCTCTTTCTCTTCCCGACCAGCGACAAAGATCATCGTGGATTCCCGATTCTGCCCCCACCAAACCCTCAAATTCTCTGCTAATTTATAGAAAAAACTGTTTGGGATTTGGCATTTTTCTTATGGCGGACTCAGATAACGAATCGGGGGGACATAACAATAGCGGAGGGAACCTTCATAGCGAAACGTCTGCGCGTGAACAGGACATGTTCCTGCCAATCGCCAACGCAAGCAGGATCATGAAAAAGGCGTTAATGGCGAACGCAAAGATCTCGAAAGGCGCTAAAGAAACAGTCAATGAATGCATCTCGGAGTTCATCAGTTTCATCACCGGGGAAGCTTTCGACAAGTGCCAGCGTGAGAAGAGAAAGACTATTAACAGGGATGATTTGCTTTGGGCCATGACGACGCTGGGTTTTGAGGAATACGTGGAGCCCCTGAAGATTTATTTGCAGAAGTACAGGGAGATGGAGGGCGAGAAGAGCAACATGGGAATGGGAGAAAAGGATAGAGCCAGCGGTGGTTCATCCGGCGGGACAAGTGGAAGCGGAGGAGAGGGTAGCGGTGGGGGTGGAGTTCGTTCGGGTGGCGGTGGGTTTAATGGAGGAGGGATATACGGAGGGATGATGATGATGGGTCATCATCAAGGTCACATGTACGGCTCCGATGGGTTTCATCATCAGATGAGTATGGAGACACGAGGTGTTGGGAAGTTGAGAGTTAGTTAGTAAGTTTGTTAATTAGTTAGCAGTTAGTTGAGAGTCAGTTAGTATGTTAACTGACGAATTTGAATTGTATATAAATGTAGTGTACTAAAATGGTTAATATACTTGAGTTGAGGTATTTGTTCCACACGTGTATTTTATATGGTATCATAGGAAAGGTTTCGTGTGGCTCGACCTTTTCTGATTTTCCCTCTTTTTGTACTGATTCATCTTCTCTTCTTTCTTTGTTTCCATGGACTCGGTTGATTTCACGCACCCTTTCTACCTGCATCCGTCGGATACGCCTGGGACTGTCCTGGTCTCACATCAGTTAACGGAAATTGAGAATTATAATCTATGGAGCCGCTCGATTCGTATTGTGTTGCTACTGAAGAATAAGTTAGGGTTCGTCGACGGTGACTGTGCTCGGGGTGATTTCGCTGAACTCTTACAACCGCAGTGGGATCGGTGTAACGCAATCGTTTTGTCATGGATTTTGAACATAGTAAGTGCTGACCTCTCGGCGGGATTGGTGTTCGCTTCCACTGCAGCACTTGTTTGGAAGGATCTGAAGGAGCGCTTCAGCAAGGTTGATGGGTCACGAATCTTCTTCTTACATTGAGAGATTGCTCTCTTTACTCAAGGCGATTCGTCTATTTCCGCCTATTATTCGCGGTTGAAATTGCTTTGGGATGAATACAGTGCATTAGTTCCTGTATCTTCATGTACCTGCGTTGATTCCTCACAAGCCTTGAATCATGCTCTTCAACAACGATTGTTTCAGTTTTTATTGGGGCTGAATGAGATATATTCTGCGATTCGGAGCCAGATTCTTCTTCTGGATCCTCTCCCTTCGGTTAATCGGGAGTATTTGATGGTGGTTCAGGAGGAGTCCCAGAGATATCTGACTTCCGGCGTTTCCCCTCTTTCTTATACGACGATGATGTACTCCAATTCCTCTAATCCTCCTTGTGGCAGATTCAATGGAGTTTGTGACTTTTGCAAAATTCATGGCCATAAACGGGAGCAGTGTTATCGGCTCAATGGCTTCCCTCCTGAGTTCAAATTCACAAAGGCAAAGAAGTCTTATTCTTCCATGGTGGCTAACTCTGAACAGAGTGAAACTCGTTCTGAGTCTTTCCCTGTGACTACTCCGTTGGTGCCGATGTTTACAACGGAATAGTATAACCGCTTGTTGGAGCTTCTCAACAAGGATGTTCATGATTCTGGTGATGTTGTTGTTGCCAACTTTGCAGGTATGGTTCATAGTCGTTTACCTGATTTTGAACGTAATTTGATTACCTGGATTCTTGACACTGGTGCCACGGACCATATGTTGTCTAGCTTTGAATGCTTGAGTAACCCTGTTGCGTATACCTCACGATTTGTTCATCTCCCGAATTATAAAACCCTGCCTATAACACATATTGGTTCTTATTGGTTTGATTCTTCTCATTGTTTACGAAAAGTACTATATGTCCCTTCCTTCACTCACAATTTATTATCTGTTTCCAAACTGACAGTTGACTTAAATTGTGCTGTTCAGTTTTATCCTGATTTTTGTGTCTTTCAGGATCTCTTCAGTGGCAAGATACTGGGGATTGGTAAGAAAAAAAGGGGCTTGTACATTCTCCATTCTTTTGGTTCTTTTATTAGTTTTGCTTCTAAGGTACCTTTCAATGTTAAAACTCATTGTATGTCCTCTATTAATAATAAAACTTCTATTTGGCATTCTCGCTTAGGACATGCTTCTTTTCTCAAATTGCATCATATGTCGTTAGGTGACTGTAAATTGGATTCCTCTGTTGTTCATTCTTGCTTAATTTGTCCTTTAGTTAAACAAGCTCGGTTGCCTTTCCCAATAAGTCAATCTCGGTCTAGTCTCCCTTTTCATCTGATTCATATGGACTTGTGGGGTCCATACAGAATTTCTACTCATAGTGGTTATAGGTTTTTTCTGACAATTGTTGATGATTGTACAAGAATGACCTGGGTCTATTTACTGAAACTAAAGTATGATGCCATTGTCTCTTTAAAGAAGTTTTTTTCTTTGGTTATTACTCAATTTGAAGCTTCTATAAAAATCATTCGTAGTGATAATGGGTCTAAATTTTTTAGCAAAGATTGTTCGTCTCTTTTCTCTTCCCTTGGTATTGTTCATCAGTCCTCTTGTATTGATACTCCTCAGCAAAATGGGGTAGCTGAAAGAAAGCATAAACATTTATTAGAAGTAGCTCGTGCCCTTCGTTTTCAGTCTAGGGTGCCAATTAAGTTTTGGGGAGAGTGTGTTTTAGTTGCTTGTTACTTAATTAATAGGCTTCCTTCTGCTGTTCTTAATTGGAAATCTCCATATGAAATGTTTCATCATAAGCCACCATCTTTGTTGCATTTAAAGGTCTTTGGTTGTTTGGGTTATGCTACTGAAACTAAACCTCGTGATAAATTTTTCCTAGAGCTATTCCTTTGGTTCTTATGGGATACTCAGAAACACAAAATGGTTATTTGATGTTCAGTCTTGTTTCTAAGACTTTTTTGGTTAGTAGATATGTTAGGTTTCATGAGGATTCCTTTCCTTTTCATTCACCTGAATTGTCGTCCAGGCTATTTCCTTCTCAACCTGTTATACCCGATTCAGAGTTTTTTGTCACTAACCTATCTGTGACAGATATGTCTTTAGCCCATAATAATCCTTCCAATTTATCTCATCAGTCTCAATCTAGTCCTAGTGTTGGTGATCAAGTGTCTCCTACATCTGTCACTTCTAGTTCTTCTAATGTTCCTATTGATCCGGTTGTTCGAAGGTCCTCCAGAGTGTCCAAGCCTCCATTGTGGTTAAATGAGTATGTTTCTTCCCAATCATCCACTTCTAGCAGTTATCCCATCTCAAATTATATTTCTTATTCTCATCTTCCATTTTCCACTCAATCTTTTCTTTCTTCCACTTCTATTGTTGAACCTACTAGTTATAGTGATGCCATTAAAGATCCTTTATGGGTCACTGCCATGCAAGAGGAGATTCAAGCATTAGAGTTAAACAATACTTGGTCTGTCGTTCCTTTGCCACCGGGTAAGGTTCCCATTGGATGCAAGTGGGTGTATAAGGTCAAGTTTCGGTCTAATGGTGAGATTGAGCGTTACAAGGCACGTTTGGTTGCGAAGGGGTATAATCAGCGCGAAGGTGTGGATTTTGTTGAGACCTTCTCGCCCGTTGCTAAACTTGTCACGATATGGACAGTTTTGGCGCTTGCCTCTTTACAATGTTGGCCATTGTTTCAAATGGATGTACATAATGCATTTCTTCAAGGCAATTTGTTTGAGGAGGTATATATGGAGCTGCCTCAAAGATTCTGCAGCCAGGGGGAGAACATGGTGTGTAGGCTGCAGAAGTCTATTTATGGCCTAAAACAAGCATCTAGGCAGTGGAACATGAGGCTGACTGAAGCCTTGGTTGATGCTGGATATATCCAAAGTAAGTTTGATTACTCACTTTTTACGAAGAGAGAAGGAACAAATATAGTGGTCATGCTTATATATGTTGATGATTTGTTGATCACTGGAAATAATACTGCCATGATAAAAGAGTTGAAAGCAATCTTGCATGCTAGTTTCAGGATGAAGGATCTAGGGGAACTTAAGTATTTTCTTGGGTTTGAGATACTTAGGTCTAGAGAAGGAATTTTGTTGAACCAAATGAAGTATGCACTAGAGTTAATAGAAGAAACATGATTAGGAGGTGCTAAACCAGTTTGCACTCCTATGGAACAAAATGTAAAACTTACTTCTACTGGCTATGATTCTGGTCTGATTGAAAATTGTAAAGAAAAGTTAGATGATGAAGTGTTGCAGGGTGATAAAGAAGTTTTCCAGAGATTGATAAGAAGACTGATCTATCTCACTCATACAAGACCAGATATTACCTTTGTGGTGCACCATTTGAGTCAGTTCATGCAACAACCAAAAAGATCACACTTGGAAGCTACTCTTCGAGTGGTAAGGTATATTAAAAAGAATCATGGTCAAGGAATTTTGCTGTCCTCTACAGGAGAGTGTCAGCTAACAGCCTTTTGTGATGCTGACTGGGCAGCTTGTTTAATGACAAGGAGATCAGTTACTGGTTTCTGTGTTAAACTAGGAGATTCATTAATCTCTTGGAAATCAAAAAGACAAAATACAATAGCAAAGTCATCAGCAGAGGCAGAGTACAGAAGCATGGCGATGGTGGCAGCTGAAATTGTTTGGCTAAGAGATCTGATATTAGAACTGGGTGTAAAGGATCTTCAACCGGCCAGACTTTACTGTGATAGCAAGGCAGCATTGCAAATTGCAACAAACCCAGTCTTCCATGAGAGGACAAAGCATATAGAAATAGACTGCCATTTTATCCGAGAAAAAATTCAAGAAGGAGTGATCAACACAGCTTATGTTCCAACAGCAAGTCAATTAGCAGATGTTTTAACCAAAGCCTTGGGAGCTCGGCAGCATGAGTATTTAATTTCCAAGTTGGGAGTCAAAGATATCTTTGGACTACCAACTTGAGGGGGAGTTTTGGGAAGTTGAGAGTTAGTTAGTAAGTTTGTTAATTAGTTAGCAGTTAGTTGAGAGTCAGTTAGTATGTTAACTGACGAATTTGAATTGTATATAAATGTAGTGTACTGAAATGGTTAATATACTTGAGTTGAGGTATTTTTTCCACACGTGTATTTTACACGAGGTGTGGTCGCCGACGCCAGTGACTAAGCAAGAGGTGGAGCTGCCGTGAGGTGAAGGTAGAAGATTGTACTGGGTAGGGGTATCAAGGATATTAGAATTGTCAATTAATTGTTTGTAAGCATTATTAACTCAATTTCTTAGATTATTTTTCTTTTTTTTTGGATATGTAATTGTCGGCAAGAAGAAAATGCATGGTTAAAATGTTGTAACCTTTAATCATAAGAAGAGGATTGCTTGTATTTCTAATTTAATCATGGGAGAAAAAGAAAATGCCTTGTTCACCATCTTACAGGAATGTTGTTATTTGAATCTAATTTTTTTAAAAATAATTTTATCATTGAAGGACCTGTTTTTGCCATTTGTGACATCTATGGGACCTAAAACGGAAGGTTGAGTCATTCTCATCCAAAAACTTTAGTTTATAATGTGAGCTATATGATCAAGACTTACGATTCCAATTGAATCGAAATTATGATGGATTAACTAGTCCTAGTTTCCTTATTATAGACTAATGAGTTCTTAAGTGAGTATATTCAATCCGATAGATATATCAAATTTATCTACTTATTTCATTATTTATAGGTTTAATATGAAAATAAGTGTATAGATTATACTCAAAATTGACTTTTGATGTCTAAAGTTTTTTTTTGTTAAAAATAAGTGTGTAACGTTTTTAACATTACACTTTAAGTGTCTAGACTGTAATAACTGTTAAAGTTAACCATTAAGTGATACACATTACCCTCGTATATTTTTAGATTTTTTTTATTAAAAAAACTATTTAAGAATATTATTAATTAAAAAAACCCACCAATTTTTATTGAAATCATAAAAGACCTCCAATTATCCAAATACTCAAACCTTAACCCTTCCTTCTATTACCGTTGGTGGCCGACCGCCACCATTACCGTTGAATACCCACCCACGTCGTCGGACCACCACGGTGTATCATTCCATTGTCGTCGCTCCAATACCACCTACTTTCATTCCTTCAGGCGAAAACTACTAAAATACTCAATTCTTTGTCCTTGAATCCAATTTAAATCCTTATAGTTTTGAAATGCTTATTTTATATTGATTTCCACATTTATTTTGAAGTGATCATCAACACCTATTCTGGCAGCACTGGAGAAATCAAACCTGGTGTCAAACAACGGCTTGGTCGAAATGCTTTATCTTGAACAACGATGGAAATTTTAAAAAGAGATTTCAAAATCAAATTGCCACCAACACCCATCGTCGGTCGTGTGATATACAGATGATTTGTAGCCATTTTAAACCGTCTGATGATTTGCAAAATTGCAGGAGACTGCATGGGTGATGGGGGACAAGGGAAGGAGACGGGAGAGAAGGAAAGTTTTTTTTTTTTAATTTAATATTTCATTGTTTTTTTTTAAATAATTTTTTTAAAAAATATATAAATATAACACGTGCAAGTTAACGACTGTTACGGTGGAGACACCTAAAATTATAACATAAAAAACGTTAGGCACATATTTTTAACGAAAAATTCTTTAAACACCTAAAATTAATTTTAAGTATAATTTAGACACTTATTTTTATATTAAGCTTGATTAAGTTAATATATCCTATTTAAACTCAACATTATATGTCGGCCTATAATAATTAAATTTTAGAATTTAAACATTAATGGAATTTTGAGGCATTACAAGACTTCAGTGAAGAAACTAGTTAAAACTTGGGAAATTAATGGAAGTTGGAACTTGAAATGAGGAGTGAGTGTGAAGCTCTTGTAAGAGGCGAAGAGCAAGCATCAATCATCAACTGGATGGCAAGGGAATTGTTTCTTTCCTTGTACTCTTTCTGGGTATACAAAACTCGATCGGCTAAAGAATAATAATATAAAATAAATATTATATATGTTCTCTACACAAATATTGACACGCGTAGAATGGGTAGAAAAAGTTAATAAATATACGTATAGAATGGTAGAAATTATATTACCCGTTGCGCCATTTTACTTGAAAGTTATCTAATGAGATTATAAAGCTTTAAGAATACAACATTAAGAATTTTTTTTTTTATTTTGTAATTTAACTTGATTCAATAAGATTAGTTTTACTAAGATCTACCTAAACAAAATTAACTATTTTAATTGTTATTTGATAAATTAGAAAATGTAAATCGAAAGAGTATGTATTAATTTTTTCAAAAATCAATTATAATAAAACAAACAAGTCCTAACATATAATTAAAGTTAATTAAAAAAGTCTTACATGATTTTTACCAAAGTTAATTTATATTTAGATACTTAAAAATTCAAAGTTTCAACCTTTACCAATTGTGTCACAGACCTTATTAATTATTTATACTAATGTTACTCATTCAACATTAATGATTGGCAGTTAAAATGACAAATTACAATTTATTGAAACATTTTAGGAAAAAAAAACTAATTTATGCAAAGTCATGGAATATAACCAACCTCAGCCTGAAAACAAAATCCTAACCGTAAAATGGAAAAGGAGACAGTCGGTAGAGCCTAACTACTCTTTATTACTAATTATTAAACAAATCATCTTACTTACTGTCTGATTTCAATGCTACAACCTTAGTTTTGGTCCCTAAGTCCTTAAATGCATGCTTGATAAAGGAATTTAGACCTATTTCTTGTTGTTCAGTGGTCTATAAAACCATTACAAGAATCCTTGTTAATAGACTTGTTCCTTTCTTCCCTTGCATGATTTTTCATAGTCAGTCAGCTTTTGTCAAGGGTAGGAATATAGTAGACAATACTTTGCTTGCTCAGGAGGTTGTTAAAGGCTACTTTAGGAAGAGTCTTTCTCCTAGATGTGCAATTAAAATAGACTTGCATAAGGTTTTTGACTCTGTTAATTGGGACTTCTTGTTGACTGTACTTGAGGCAATGGGGATCCCTGTTGAATTTTGTAATTGGATCAAAGCCTGCATTATTACTCCCATGTATTCAATCTCTTTGAATGGTAGCTTGGTGGGGTATTTTAAGGGAGCAAGAGGGATTAGGCAAGGAGACCATTTATCTCCTTACCTATTTGTTATTGTGATGAATGTCCTGTCCTCCCTTTTGAATGCTGCTGCAAAACAGAGTGTCGAAACGATTTTTTTCTAATATGTGAAAAAAGTGAGATTTTAAAAACCACATTAATTCTTAATTATCTCTTTTTAATTTAAAAACAAATGCGATTTAAAAGACCTCTCGTTTCGAAAATTTTTGGATTTCCTTTACGATCGAAAAATACGGTTCAAAGAGTCGCCACCAATCTTTGATTAGGGTGTGATTGGGCACCCAAAAATGCTTTGTCGTTTTAAATAAAAATTAATTTTAATTAAAACAACAAATTGAGGTCTGCGTTACCAAAATCCGAGTTCGGGAGTCGGTTACGTGTGGGGAAGGATTAGCACCCCCACAACGCCCTAAATCGGTACCTAGTCGATTAATTAACATTTTTGCAATGAACTTTACAAATTCGAACTTAATTTGAGTTTTGATCCCATAAAACAAAAATGTAAATTTAAAACATTTAAGAACACTCAAACGAATTAAATTAAAATTACCAAGTCATTTTAGAAAGATAAAGAATGTTCGATTATTTACAAATATCGAGACCAGATCTTAAAGATATAACAACCTTTTCTCGATATATTTAAATAAACGAACATTTCTTTTTCTCTCGTTCCCAAATTTTAGGTGATGAATCAATTTTTTGGTTTCACTTTCGGGATACACTTTTATTTTAAAATCATTAAAAGCAGACCTCAAATCAGTTATGACTGCCCACTTAGTACAATTTTAAATTAAAAGGGCATTACCCTTAGTCTGATTATGTAATATGTCGAGTTATGCAAATGAGGCTAATGCAAATTATGCAAAAATGATGCCATGGAAAACTTAATTAAAGAAGGATATATTACATCTAATTACTAAATAATATATGAAATTATCGTGCAATGCTACATTTAAATGAATAAATAATATATATATATATATATGCATACTTTTAAAATATAAATTATATACTATACGCATATTAACACAAATAACTAAATATGACTAAAATAAAGAAAACGAATCATAACATAAAAAAAGTTCAGAAATCAAGTAAAATGCTTAACCTAGATACTAAATAATACATAACACAAATTTACTATCTTAATTATAGAAATAATAATAATTGAGATAAAACAAACATTAAACCATTTTAAGTATTGAAATCAAAAAGAAACCCTTGTTATCCTAATGGACTAAAAACAGAATAAAGTCTACACATACAAATGACTAAAATTAAATGTGCATGAAACAAAGTACCAAGATTATAAACATGAAAATTTTGACCTAGGACTAAAATGTCAACTAACAAAATTACAGATTAAATATAAAACTAATGAAAAACTCGAAACAACGTAAGGACGAACCAAAATGAAAGACGCATGAAATATAAAGACACAAATAGAAGCCTGAAAAAATTTAATCTGAGGACCAAATTGCATCAACCCGAAAACACTGTCGTTTTGGCAGTGTTATAAGTTTAAAACCTAGGTAAAATAAAACCCTATCCTCACTTATCCTTCCCTAGCATCAGCCGCATTCTCTCTCACTCTCAATGTCTCTTCTCTCGTCGACAACCTTAAACGAAACCCACCAGCTACCACGGCCGTCGTGGTCTCTACCGCCTAATGGCTCCGACGAGGAGCGTAGACGTCACCTAACCTCGTTCTCCCCTCCAAATACCAACCTAAAACCAAGATCTAAGACCAAAATACCTGAAACCCAATCGATTTCATCACCTAATTACCTCTAAAACTGGACACTCATCTAAGAGAACGTCCTACCCAAAGCATAAACCGTGCTGCCCTAAAAAAACCACTCGGTATCGCCCTCAAAACCCATACTTCTCGACCCCTATATCATGCAATAACAGTACTCGCAAGGTGAAAATCTTACCCTCGACGACACAACAAGGCTCGGGTTTCAAGCGGTGATAATGGCTCTCCTCTTCAAGTCAGGAAGGTAAGGATTGTTGTTTTGATCTCTGAAATTTTTGGTTGGTGTTAGTTGGTGTAATAT